CACCTCCCTGGTTGCTGCTGCAGCTGAACTTGCCCTCTCCTGCTTGCCCTACGCCTACATGATGAACACTAACGAAATCTTCATGGCTCTCAACCAGTGTGAGATCCAGAGCTCGGATATGCTGCAGAGGGCCTGTCTGAGTATTGAGAAGGCAGCCAAGGATAGTGATGTGCACTATGAAATCCTGTTTGGCGTCGCAAAAAAGTTAGAGCCGTTGTTATATTGAGCCGATGATGTTATTAATTTAATTTGAATTATTTCGTTCAGTCATTTACATAAAGGTCGTTCAGAAATGAAATGATAACATTTTTATCTTCCAGGTGGTATGATCTTTACAAGGGAGAGATTGAAGGAGCATCGTTCAACGTGAAACCATCATCAACCACACACAACATCAATGTCACTTCAACATATTCCAGCCATACGTCAACAGCTGCATCAGCAACAAGAAACTCATGGGGTGGTTATGTACAGCCGCAAAGCATTGCTGGCACCAGAGACAAGACAACCACTCCACCCACCAGAATGCAGTTTTTCCATCAGCAGCACGCACATCAGCAGCCTCCGCAGCTTCAACACTTGCCGGTAATCAGCATGACTCCTCAACAGCAGCAGCAACAGCAGCCACAACAGCAGATATACTTTCAGCCAGCTCCTCTTTCGATGGCTCCACAAATACAACCTGACCAACAACATATGCTACACTCCTACCAACCTCAACATCAACAACAGCTGCAACAACAGCAGCCACATTACCTTCCTCAGTCACCACATTCACTTTTTAATTATCTGCAGTTGCAGCAACAACAATTTCAAAATCATCCATTCATGGGCCACACAACTTACTACACCCACCAACATCCTATCAGGCATCCGGCTCTTCACAACTATCCCCCAAATGTCACTCTCACCCCTATTCAGCTGCCTCCAGTTGCTTATCTGGGTCAACAGAATCTAGGTCAAATAAATCAGCAACCGCAGCAGCTGAATAACAATCTCAAAAACAACAGCAAAATCTGGAATCCCCAATTGTACGACTATCAAAGATATTACAACATACCAGAATATGTTAGTCAGATTCTGTCATTAGTTGAATATAATAATGCTGCTCTTAATGATGAGGACGACGACAACGCGAATAAAACTTTAGTGTAACTTTTGATAATTTTGTGGAAATGTTTGAATCTTTGCATCAATTTAAAATAAGCAGGAATTACAAATAATTCATTGATCAAGTTATTAAGCGTGGCGTACAAATTTTACCTTGATAGCAACAACCATTCAAACTTTGTTAACTTTTTTTCATACTTTCACAGATCCCAATAACGATGGCCTACCAGACGCAACAGCCGCCACCACCACTGTTACAACAACAACAACAACGTCTTCACGCACAGCAACAGCAACAGACTCCCATGCTTAACAATCCGTTACCCAGCAACACTAACCTAGCATCGAATGTGGACACCACTGGCGGCATCCTGGCAATGACTGGTCCGGCTGCTACGAAGGCCAGCTGCTACTTGCTAGCTGCTTACAGAGTTGGCATGCTTGCTATGGAAGCTGTTTCAAAGAGGATTCACGAGGACCGACCGCAGGTGAAGTTTTCCAGAAATCCATCGTACGGCGAGGATGTGAAGTGGTTGCTTGAAGTCACCATGGAAATGGGTAAGATGCTGGTGTGGTGGCTCTCATTTGATGAAGATTTTGTGCAAGTTTGTTTGAATAACAATGCAAATCTAGGCTGTTAAACTCTTGTCATTTCAATCCTTGGTACCGTTTCAACGTTTCATAATATCAATATTACTTATTGTCTCAAACCCACCGATGCATCCAGGGCCCTCGTACATACAGCACTTCATAACTGCGGCTGCCTCCCTTATGAGCCCCTTCATCCTGTTCGACATCATCATGGAGGTCACCAAATATCTGAATAACAACAGTAGCGGCAGCAGCAGTTCCAACCAGTGGAGTGGTCAGCAGCAGCTGCAGAATGTTCGGATATTCACCAATGTCCTGCAGCAGAAGTGTCTGCAAGCGTTAGTATTCCATCTCTCTCTCTTATTCTTCTTTTGTCATCATTTCATTCGAGTATGAAGCTTAATTTCATTTATTGTGAATTATTAAAGTCATGTTGTTTTTTGATGTTCTAGAGTCGTCACCATACAGAATATTCGTAGAATCATCTCGCCGAAATAGAGCTCATACAAATTCAATTTGTACATTGCAGGTTTTCCCAATGTGCCCAATCTCGCATTCACCATATCTGCCCTCAGGACTTTGATGATTTCGCCAGCATCATCTGCAGCGCCAAGAAAGCTTTCTTGCTCTTCTCCGATAATGGACAGAGTCTGTTCAACGACTTGCTGTCAGGTCTCCGCAAGTCCAAGTCCTACAAGAAGGAACTCTGGCAGAGGATCATGGCTGCTGTTAACTCCAATTCGCAATAGTTCTGCTGCTCAGTTGTTTGTTTCTATTGTAGAGGTGTGCTGTTAATGACTACTACTGCAACTGTAGTAGTCGTTGTAGTATAAGCAGTTGAAGTAGTTGTGGTAGAAGTAGCTGTAGTAGAAGAAGTAGTAGTTGCAGTCTCAAGGCTGTACTTTTTCAGAGGCAGAGGAGATGTTGTTGAAAGCGTGTATTTTATGTCGGACTGAGATTGATTTTTTGTTGTTGTTTAATTGTTTTGTTTTTATGTTGAAAAGAACCAACAAACCAGACACGCGATGATTGTAATGTGGATAAATATATAAAGTGATGATTTGACGTTAACATATCCAACAAATGAGAAAATGCATATTGAATTGTACGTGTTTGTATGATCTTTTTCGTGTATTTTTTATTCATTGTTTGCCAGTTGTTATTTAAAAAAATGATGTCCCTTGTAAATTTGTGAACTGTTAAATTAACTTAAAACAATTATAATAATTAACGCTCTATGATATAGATAGATGACACGCGCACACACACAAACATGTTTATGCATGAAATATATCAGTATGTGTGTTTGCATGTCTGTCTGTGTGCATGTGTATGTGTGTGATGTATGCGAGAGAATGAAAAAAAGATACATATGATATACATTGACACTGGATGGGTTGATGTGGATAATTTGTAAATAGGCATTGATGTAAATTATATGATACTGTCATTTTGTGATACAATGGCTGATTGCGTGTTTATGTATCTGAGAGCTTCTGAATGAAAACACATGTTGTTTGTATATTTATAATAATAATAATATTATTATTATTATTTTATAGTAGTTTTGCTTTTTCCAGTTAAATTTACTAATTAAACATGTAACAATAATTTTTGGGAGTATTATAATTATGTGCGTTACATAGTTACTAATACAAGTAAATCCTATCCTTATTATAAGGAAGCAATTTTTTTGTTATCGGCTTAATTAGACATGTAAATATATTGAAAATTACGAAAATGACGAACAGCCATTATATATGATATAATATGTGTGTGTGTGTGTGTGTGTGCGTACATTTATTAATATATATGTATGTATTTGTATATCCAGTTGCTGGTTAGGTACTTTGCGACGTAGAAATTGTTTTTTTTTCTTGTTAACTTGTTAACTTTCTATTTTAAATTTAGAATATTTTGTGTGTGTGTGGTGTGTGTATGCGCGTGTGTGTGTGGTGTGTGTATGCGCGTGTGTGTGTGTTGGTGTTAGTGCTGGTGGCTCGATAATGATGATAGAAACAGATGACGATGATGACGAATGATGGTTTCAGGTGATGCCTTCATGATATTGATATTTGGAAGAAAAAAAATTAAAATGTAAATAACTGAACGATAATGTCACAATATGTGCGTGTACACGCAGATGCAGCATACACACACGTACACGCGTGTATAAATAGTAGACAGTTTTGCACGTACGTGAATAGAAACTTAACACAACAATGCAATATTTTTCTCCCGTCGCGATGTTACGTATATAGTGGCACTACTGATGCTAGCACGCTCATATGTCACATTGTATTCAATTACACTACATTGCGTTATCTTACGCTACACTACATACGTCAGATGAATTAGGTTTAGTTTTTTTTTTCAATTTAAGATCCCATTCTAACGCATGTGCACGCTGTATGGTCATCGGTGTTTGTTAACTCAGAACGAACGTTCATCGTTTCGCACTTTGTAATTTAAATGATGTTTTTGTCGGGGAGGCATTTTATGTTGTGTCTTCTTGTTGAAATAGGAAATTGAACTGCTGTTTGGCTGAGTAGACTGACGTTTTGTCTCAATGTCAAACTTTATTTCAATGTGTAATATTCATCTAACTACCTATACCCATCTACTTAGTTTTTGTTTAATTTAGTTTAACTTTACTTCAAATCAACAGTTTTTATTTTTGATTGTTTGTCTGTAGGTGTGCATATCTATTCATTTATCATCTAGACGATGCTGGGTTGTATGTGAGAGAGCATGATGTTACGGAACTTTACGTGTGTAAATATGTTTATTTAAATGTGTGTTGTGTGTGTGTGTGTGTGTGTGTGTGTGTGTTAAGCTTATCTACAGTTTCACACATATATGATGTGAAAGAGACAAAGAAAGAGAGAGAAATATGTATATGTCTGTGTGTGTGTGTATATGTATGTGTGTGTGTGTGTAGGTATGTGTGTGTGTGTGTGTAATTAAAAATGCGTTCGTTCTATACATGCTGCGAAATTATCTATATAAAAGTGTAGGTGATAGGGTGGGCATATAATTAGGCACCGACGTGTAAATGGAAAATGTAGGACTCCGATTGAAAGGTTTCGCGTGAATGTAGAGTGACATTTCTTCTAAGTCTAAATAAAATATTTTAATAATTGTAAAAGAAATGTCTTGGAGAAAATAATTAGGCTAGTTAGATGATGTAACGGGTTTGATGTTGGGTGTTTTATTTACCAAACGTCCTCTAGCCCTCTGATGCAACTGCCATAAGGAGGGGCTACGTTTTTATGTTTGTTGGTGGTAGGTTGAGGTTTTGGTTGGTATAGTTTGCATACGTGCGTTAAGGTGTCAGCGGATTTGCGGATGTGTTTCGAGACAACGTGGATTGGCATCCACCTTGTTTGCTTTGAATAGACAATGGAAATTTGCCACCATTGATTTTATTTTTTTTTATTTTCTATTTTTTTCTCTTCATAATTTTCCAACTTTTTCATTTTTCAATGTGAAACGTTTTAATTTAAAACATTTTATTTTATCGTTGTCTTCTACTAACATTTTTCGTATGCATTCTTTACAATCTTGTCTATAAATATATATATATGTATGTATATATATATATTATATATATAGGTCGTAGATATATATGTACTGTTATATATATATATAATAGTTGAAAATCACAAAATCACAGCATGCTCCCTGTTAGTTAATAGTTGGCTTCATGTTTAATTTTTCAATCTGTCTAACGAAATAAATAAAAATTTTGGTTTTAAACTCAAGAAACTTGACAATTATTTGTAGTAGATCCTAATCTACCTTTAAAAAATCGGAAAATTAAACAGGAAGCTAACTAACGCGGAACATGTGTGATTTTCATCAATAATTATATATATATATATATATATATATAAGCACCAGCCAAATAGCAAATATCAGATACACACACACGCTAAACTTATTCGTTCTCATGTTTGTTAGGTCACTACTTAATGCATATCAAAAAATATGCATGCATATTTGATAACATGCTTATACAGATTCAAGATTAATATTTAAATACGCGTGTGTGTACACAAATGTGCGTGTACACGTATACATAATTGTGCATATTTATCTATACATACGCTAGTATATAATTAAACACAATTGTGCACGTATTGTAGTTTATAATTTAGAAACAAGTTCGTTGTTTTTTGTTCATGTTTCTTTCTGAGTACATCCATCCATGCACTGAGAAGACTCTAGATTGTTATCAAACGTCAGATGTTATAATGTTTAATCATTGTGGTTTGTTTCTACGTCACATTCATTCAGATATACCAATAAATACTTCACAAAAACTCAGTAGCCATTCGTTTTCCTGTTCATAGTTTGTTTATGTAAGTGTGTCAGTTCGACATTCTTATTTTTAATAGTGTAAATTTTGAAAAGAGTTACAGAGTACATTACAATATTCACTGACGCCTGTCAACTTCTCCCGCCAAAAGAGGTGGCGGCCTAGCATCAATTCAAACAAAACATCAGTGAAGTTAGAATGATGTACGATATTTAAGAATACAATACTACGATTCTAAACATTTTATTACGTAAAGTAATGTCATACGTAGATCTGATATGCTCATTAATATTAATAATTGCTATCAAACAAATGCATTGCGTCAAAGCGTTGACACTAACAAGTAACAACTTCTCAACGTCATTCTAAGAAATCACTTATATTCCCCTGATTACTTACGAAATTTGCAATCTGTATCTGTCACAAGTTTATTGTTTAGATATATACCTCTAAGTATCTAATTGTTTAACAGAATATATCAAAGTTAATGTATGATACCTCTACACTGTTCGTTTCACGAAAAATTTCAATTCAGCAGCATTCGATGCTTCTTATATAAACGGCAATGAGAGCGACGAAGTATATGAAAATTTCAAAAATTTAAATAATTAGGCAAACACGTCCATGAAAAGATAAAAAAAGAGAAAACAATAATGGTACTCAAATATGAAAAAAATAAATATGTTGTAATATAGAAATCGAGGAGCAAGTCATTATATACGAATGTTTGATATAACCAACAATATAGTAACGACATTTATAACATATGCTTGTCTAAAAGGATTTAACGCGCTAAGCTGTAAAGGTATGCATATATGTATATCTATCTAACCATGCATCTCTGCTTTTGTGCATGCAATTATGTTCATCTACCTGTGTGAATGGACAACAAATAAGTAAAACAACTACAGTACAACGTAAAATAGTATTCACGCACTCAACACACACACACATACACACAGAAAACATTTAGCATACAAAAATGCATAAAAAAAGCTTCATCAATTTACGCAAACGTATTTATTAAACTAATATCCATGCGTCATGCATGCTTGCTGAATTGAATTCAAAGAATTTTCTATACTTTAAAGAAAAATTTGAATTGAAAGTTAAACAAAAGAAAACACGAATAAGCACGAGATAAAAGTACCTAAGCAAATATGGTTGAAATACTTTGCCTGAAGCAAAGACAACATAGAACTTTTTTGCAGAGCCATTTGCAATTGTTTGCACTGCTTATATCTATGTTGTGTTTGTGTCTGTGTAAGCAATACGCTAAACATTAACAAACAAGAACATCGTTGAGTACGAAGAAAAAGTTATACGACTGAATGAATGAATGAATGAATGAATGAATGAATAAATAACATTCTAATCCCATTGTTTGATTGATTGTGTGACAATTAATTGATTAATCAATTATTTGATCAACCAACTAACTAATTAGTTTATTAACTGATCGATTGAAAATTCAATCATTCATCATTGTCCTAAAAGTAAATTAACTACCTACCTATCCATTATTTGAATGAAATTGAAAATTTAAAATGAGATAAAGAAGTATAACAAGTAGAAAAAGTATTTTAAAAGTGGATTCACAATGAAGGTAGGGATGTGACGTTTGCACCAATGTGCGGGGGGTGTAGCTGCAGTTTGATGGGATCTCGCAGTCTTCGAAGGTCGTACTTTATTTTGGAGACCTCATCACATAAGTAGTTGTAGCGCACTAAATCAAATTCACCCTTCTTCGAGATCTTATGTAGAAGCCTCACAACCTGCCTGTCATGCACGTCTGGGTATATGTACTCCTGTCATCAAGAAAATTCGTTTAAAAGTCTTAAACTTTATAACAAAATTAATTTAAAATATAACAATCAAACATTTTAATGTAAACTATGCTTCAGATAAAAATGAATCTATCTCGAAATCAAGACAAATATGTCACCATCAACTCTGTTTTACAGAAACTAACCAAAAATAAGTGGAGATTGTAAAACAACGTACCTGATTTGTTATGATATAATAGGAGAACATGGCCATTATGGTTCCATATGTGACAAAGTAGGTGACAGGCTCCATGATATCCCAGGAGTACTCCCACCAGGTAAGGCGAGCCAGGATACCAAACTGCAGTCCCATCATGCTCAATCCAACCCAGGACATTATCCGAGTCTTGCGTGCCGCCAGGTCCTTCATATCACTGACAACCTGTTTCAAGTGGTCAGGTAGTATCATGGTTGGCTTGGTGTGGGCAATGTCTACAATTAGCTTCGTTCTTAATGCTGTCATTACAAATGTCGTTCACAACACGAAATATGACGTTATACTTTGTCACATCATAATTTTGCAAAATCTAAACTCAATTTCAAATAAGCCTGATGTTTAACTAATAACTCCAATTTTTATGAAAAAAGGAACCGCATTAGAAAGCACAGACATGCATACACTTACTACACAACACAGTAACCACAAACATTCTCACCCGACCACACTGACCTTTTCCATGGGCAACAGTTCCAGCTGTAGCCCCTCGAGACGTTCCATCAACTTTTCCTGTCTCTTAATGAAGACTTCATCACTGTTAATAGCCATGTAGAGTTGGGCCACCAAGTTCTTCACTGAATCTCCTTCGATGTATGGAGATGAGAAATCTGCAAATTAAAATTTTAAATATATTTGTGTATGTATGAGTCTATGTATGCGTGTGTATTTGTATATGTATGTATGTGTGTGTATGTATGTATGTGTGTGTATTTGTATATGTAAGTTTTATCATTGATGTATGAATAATCATTATGAATAAAATTTTTTGCTTGGAAATTTATTATTTCAAGATACATTCATCAGTATATATTCCTAAAAATATAAATATTTTTACAAATTCTTTAGAGAATCCGTAAGAGTGAATACTCCAGCACATGTTATATTAATGTTAATCATGTTTTAAGCATCTAAGAATATGATGCGATTGAACGATGATGTTACTGGGATAAAAATCTTTTCAATAAAATGAAGAAGTAGACGATGATGGTTTCAATATATAATACTACGTATAAAAATGTGTATAAATAGTAAACAGTAACCACGCAGTTTAAGATGATGTTAACTGGCATCAACATGAATGATGAATGAATTCGCAAGTTAATCACTAGTACTAATAGATAGGAATACTGTTTATAACGTGCTACAAATAAATGCAGGTATTGCTATATGGGAGTCCCTCTCTTTATATGTACTATTCTGTATAAGTGTGTGTATTGTGTGTTTGTATATGTATTTGTGTAAGTATAAACTGTTTCGATGTGTTGTGTTTCAAAAATGAAACAGTTACACGTAGGAAATCTGTGATAATCCACAAACAGAGACTAGAAGAATGTTGAAAAATATCAAGGACTTCGTTTTTCTATCACTGTTAAACTGTCAGTATAATTTACACGGATAAAAAATAAAAATAAGAACATCAAAGAAATAATGAGAGATGTATTAATGCAATAGACCATCAAATGTGAGAACTGAGAAATAACTCTGCTATAAAGAAGAGCCATAAATAATAATTACATGACTAGCAGCATCGAAAATAAGTGCTATATCATCAGAAAAACATTGATGCAAGAGAAATAATAAACAGTAGTAGTAATAGTAGTAGTAGAAGTAGTAGTAGCAGTAGATGTAGTAGTAGCATAGGTAGCAGCAGTAGTTATTATTGTAATAGCAGAAGTTGCAATATTATAATAATAATTAATTATTATTATTAAACCAATCACAATTGTAAAGTTGAAAAAAAACAACAAAAATGCGTAAAACTAAATCACAAGAGGTCAGGAAAGATAATTAAGCTTGGCAGCTGATCTTCCGATAAAAAGAGATCTATAGTGACAGGTTGAGTGGGTGCAGGGCAGCGTACAAACAGGAGAAATAAATAAGCCTTCATGAGTATGACTCTTGTGTGATGTGACGTGATGTATACCATGTGATGTATACAATGTGATGTATACAATATGATGTATGCAGTGTGATGTATACCATGTGATGTATACAATGTGATGATGTACAACTATAAGAATGCACACTTGAATGACAACAATATGTGACGCTTATAGTGGTGGCTAGATGTCAGTCAGGAATGTGACAAAATGACTGAAGATGGTAATGATCTAGAAATTACATCAAGACAGCGGAAATCGTGTTGAAATTTTATGCTAGGTACATAGGCTTAGTACACGTGTACTGACGTGTAACCATCAAGGACAAATGTACTCTTGAACATGATTGTCTAGGACATTTGTACTTGGCTATGCTATTGCAGTTGTCTAAACTTCTCATACCTACAAACCAATGCACACTCAATCAATAAATCTCGTTTAACCATGAAACCAGGTACATTAAAATCCTCCAAGCCAATTTATACACATGCTTTAAAAAACTCACATCATATTACACTATATATAATGTAAAAATATATTGAGAAAATATATTGGTACTGAAAATATATTGATACTTATTGTATGCATAAGTGTATAGGCAATTTTGAGGGATTTGATGAATCTGTAAAAAAATCATGAAAATGACTAGAGTTTGGCTAAAAAACAGCCAAGCACATGAATTGCAACAGATCACAAATAACACAAGCAGGTAGTTTAATATAAACATCTCATGGAAACGGTATATTTTTTTCATTCAATTTATAAACAGTGCAAATACGATCAACACAATCTAATACACAAACGTGCGTGCGTGTGTATTTGTGCGTGCAACACGCACGTAAATAAATACAGCAAGCTTGCATGCATGCCAGTGTGCCATGACTGGGAGTGTCAACTGTGCAGGCATTTAACAAATCAATAAGCAGGTTATACACTTCTATAGAAGATGACATGCTGGTAACTTTTTATTTCTCATATTGAAAAATTTATGAATGATAGAGGCTATTAAATCATCGATATAAAAAATTAGAAAAAGTCTAGTATATTGTAGTATAAGGAAAACAATAGTACATAAATTAATAGTAAAGATAGCAACAATAGCAAGTGTAGTATTTTTAAAAGAAAAAAAAGATGTTATGTTATCCCAAATCAGATGTTACAGAAGACCATTAGAAAACACACGATGTATATAAAGTATTATTGATAGCCCAAAAAAACTTTCCTTTCTTCTTTTTTTCTCAAAAACTTTCCTTTCTTCTATTTTTCTCTTCATTGAAGGAGTAAGTAGCCATTCAGTTTTTCAAAATAATTAATCTGAATGACCTCACATAATTACTGCAAATAATCATAATATGGTAGACCAACAATCAAGCAGAGCAGGCATAAATATATCAACAAATAATTCTACTCACAAATAAATAGACTCACATACAAATACAGATAAATACAAACACACAACCGCAAAGACATGTAGAAGTAATACATTCATACAGATACACAAATACAAACATACACTTACCCATATATACAAAGATACAAGATGTGCTGAATGCATACAAACATATTCAAACATAAACATAAAAAAACTTAACACGCAATCAAAAAAGAAACAATACATTAAAAAAACTGCACAACATACAAACATTTACGTACCTAGGCCATTTAGTTGTACCATGTAATTTAATTCATTCATTTGTAAGATGAAATCATTTTTCAAAAGGTCAGCAATGGAGGTGTTGTTTGAGATGAGGTCGCCCTCTGATTAATTTCATTTTAACAAAAATTAAAATACAAGATTACAATGTTTATTGAACTTTTAAATTTAAATTAACAAAAATTCAAAATAAGCTGACTCAGACATGAAAATCCATGCAGTCAAATCTAGTTTTTTAGATATATGACATATGTTAAAGAAACAGATACCTAATGTAAAAGCCCTAATCTTCTGGACCCCGGCATCTTCAATTCGGATGTTGTTCATTAAATCATTTAGTGTGTTCATCAGTGGCTTCAAGACGATTCGACACACTTCTTCTCTAGAGTATAAGGGAACGGCTATCAAACATAGACCTTGTTCATTCTTTAGCTTAATGTAGCCTTAAATGAAAGAAAAGTATGTCATGTTATCTTTATATATCTACTCTACATACATTTCATTCTTGTAACACCCAAAATTAAACTTTGAAAATTGAAAAGAAATAAAAAGTCAACCAACCATCTATTGTGGACTTATCTGGGACATAAAAATCCCTGTTACTCTCATGTGCTGATGTTGTATAATATGCAGTTGTTGTTGCATGATGTGCTTGTTTGTACTGTAAAGTGTGAATGAAGATGAGATTAAGTCTTACTCTTATATTAAAATTGCATTTATATCTTACTGATCAAACAATTAAATATAAATCATAGAACAAAAAACTAAAAGATTGAAAATTAGAAATGGTGGGAAAATTAATTAAACAGATTGCTCTCGGAATAAAAAAATCAGTTTTTATTTATGTCACAAATTAATGAGCAATAAAATTAAATCGAAACAGCTGAAAAAGCGGTACTTACTTTTGGATTGAAATTTAGAACTTTTATTGAACAAACCGAAAAATATTTAGATTGGGAACAAGCGCTTCTTAACATAAAATTATTATTAAACAACTGTTTCAAAACTTTAGAAGAGCAGTTCGCATTGCATTCTCTGCACAAGACATGTTTCAAATTTCTTACTACCAGCAGGCTCGCCATTGACTTTCAGGAAATTTTTTAAGATAACTCAATAATCAGGAGGTAAACATTTTGCAAACTGGTTGAAACATAGCGACATCTTTAAGACTAATGAACGATTATAACTTATTTAGGATCTTTTTGGTTAATCCAGGATACGTTGGTTAAAATACGTTACAGAACGTAAATTCCAGATGGAATTACGGAAGCAAAGTACACAATAATCTGATCATCATTGCAAAATTGAACTAACCGGTCAAACATCGCCGGCACTCCCGACCAAACACCAAAGTGGAAAGCCCTTTCGCGACCCACAACGGTCAAACTCGAATTGACAAACAACAAACCACCATCCGATGTTCTAGAACATTTTTATTCGTGTAGTTTCAGCTTAATAATTTTTGAAAGCTAGTACATATTCTTAAACGTATGAAATAAATCAAAACAATGTTAAAAAATCAACAAAAATTGATATAACGTCTAAATGTAAATAACATTAATAATAGATAACAAAATAATCAACAATACAAAACACGCCAACTCCTACAAGTGAAAATTGAAAAAAATTAATTTGGTGCCTCTGCAACTAAGTAGGCATATTATTCGGACTTTGCTAAAAATTACTTATAAATAAAAATATAATTAATGATGTAAACTTTAATCATTAAACACAGACATTTAAATATTCATTCGTTATGTAAATATAAATATATATATATATATATAGAAAGCTGAATTCTGAATTTTAGTTGTCTTCACCCTCATTACCGTCAGCATCGGCATTCTCTGAGGTCCAGAGCTGTTAAAATGAAAAAAAAACATGATCAGAAAAATAATTATTATGCTATGAAGCACTGTAAAAAAAGCCTAAAAATTATAATAGGGAACTTACTGTGAGATTGTCACGCAACAACTGCATGATGAGGGTGCTATCTTTGTAGGAATCTTCATTCAGTGTATCAAGTTCTGCAATGGCATCATCAAAAGCCTGCAAAACAAACATTATTTAATATCACTGTTGCATCAGCATCCAGCTAAGGCCATTAAAAATGATTGACTAACCAATTTAGCCAATTGACAAGCCCTCTCTTGTGAGTTCAAGATCTCATAAAAAAATACAGAGTAATTGAGAGCCAGTCCAAGTCGAATAGGATGAGTTGGCTGCATCTGCTCTTTAGCGATGTCAAGAGCTGATTGGTAGGCCTTTTCAGATTCAGCAACCACACCTAGTAAACAATTAAATAGATTATGTACGATGTTGAAAACTAATTACAGATAATAACCAACTGAAAATTAATAAACAATCAATAGTAATTAAAAATTATATATATATAATAGCTCACTTGTTTTTTCAGCTGATGTTCGAACTTCAGCCAGGTATCGGTAATAATCACCCTTCATCTTCAAGTAGAAAACCTTGCTCTCAGCATTTCCAGCTTTAGCAATCAAGAACTTGTCTAGAAGGTCCTAAAAACAAAACATTTTATAATTTGATGACAGACCATTGATAAGGCAATAGACATTAATCACCATCAGTAATATTTCAGCAACGGCAAGTTTACCACTGATACTACTGAGTTACTAATGTTCCGCTATTGAATAAACATATATATAAAAAAAAAAGAATTAACTTACAAGGACATCTTTACAGACTTCTTCCAATTCTTTTTCAATCTTCAATTTGTATTCTTTGACCATGCCCTGCTTTTTTTCATTACCTTCAGTTTTTTGTTCAATACTCGAAATTACTCTCCAAGACGATCTTCTGGCCCCAACAACATTTTTGTAAGCAACCGAAAGTAAGTTTCTTTCTTCGTTTGACAGTTCCGTTCCTAATTCCGTGACTTTCTTCATGGACGTCGCCATGTCATCGTAGCGCTCCGCCTGTTCGGCCAACTTAGCTTGTTGGACAAGTTCATCTCTGTCGCCAGAAGCCATTTGAGTCGTTGGTGTCTAAAAAATTTAAAAATTGACAACCAAGAAAACGATAGAACCTTCCAAAAAGGATGACTAATAAGTTAATATGGCCAGAAGCAAGAAAGGAAGTGGGTGTTGAAAAATCCTAAATAGATCATCAATGATTTATTTCACTAAAATTTCGTTATATATTGTTTCAACTTTTCAAAAAAATTATCACTTAAATAAATTATTTCGCATTAGCAATAAACTTTTGTAATAAACAAATTTTAAACAAATATCTCAAAACTTATTTTTACTTCCCCAGATGACATCCCCTAATTGAAATTTTTGAAAACCATCTCGTCATAGTAAAAAGGTAAGTGCTTTAATTTCTATTCAAGTCCATTAATTTTTACTTATAAACGAAGTTTTTTCTAAACATTAAAATGTTTTATTAGGAAAATACTTCACAGAGAGCAGCCCAAATCACGTTTGGATCTAAACGAGAACGCATGCGAAACGACGAATGCACGCACAAACGCGCATACGCATCCACGTCAATGCAAAAACCTATTAGAAACAAAAGAATTACGAATTCCCTAATGATCACGGAACATTTAGTATCTTTTTCCGGCCGGCGTGGGTCCGTTTTTATCAATAGAGAACAGAAGCGTATCGTGAGAATTTCAGACGGACTCTCCGGGTCGTTAATTTATCTCTGCGCCGGCGCTCTGCCTAACTTCTACGTACGTTGCGTGCATTTTATGTACGATACGCTTAAGCATACATAAATTTATATATACATATATACACATATCTACATACGTAAATACTGCATACATATATACGTACATACATATACTGTACATGCATGCACAATATTTAAACAATAAATGAATGATCAAAAATAATTTGTGGTTCTGTTTAGAAACTTAAAAACGCCTTACCTTCCGTGCGGTACGCAAGTACATGCAAGCATCAACATCACTGACTATCATCTTGATCACGGTGGTGTCTGCGTTTTTGTTTTATTTCTGTTATTAACTCTTATTACTGTGCTTTTTGTGTATGTAAAACAGTTAATACGTTTGCATTTTGTGCATTTAATGATTGACTTGATAGCATTAATATTTACATTATAGGCTACTTACAAATGTATGTTTGCATATTGACATTATGCCCTTTAAATTCATTTTCTGATTATTGTATTATATACCCAATACACATATCTGAATGAGTTATACCCATCTATGTGGATGGACAGCGTATTTTATGGGACTTTATTTCCATTCAAAGCTTCTTTTGTCTACATTTTTTCTCTCCAACAATTGATGGCCATATTTTAAAATGAACAACTGATGATATTTTTGCTGGTCTCAATTGCTTCCCGTATGTTCATTCGTTCGTTCGTTCGTTCATTTGATGTTGCGAACATAAAATATCAAAAACATTCCAAATAAATGTATGTATGTTTTGAGACAATTACGAAGTATGATCGGTGATAATTAGGACTTACGACTCGCGATGACCAATCGTATTTAATTAGGATAATCAGTCAGTTAGTGTTTGCACAACGATAGTGATGACAGCATCGGCCATTAAGAGGAATCATGAAACGTTTAGGATATGAAATAGCGTAACGTAATGCTTGATTTAATCGTTGCGCTTGGCTGCTGGCTTAACGCATCCCTAGTTGTCATGGCACCGTAAAAAGGTGAATAATAATGAAATAAATGGGAATAATAAAAAATAAAAATGAAAAAATAAATTGATTAGTACCATTTCTCTTCATTGTTGTTGTCGTCGTCGTCGTCGTTGTTGCTGTTGTTTTTGTTGTTATTATAATTTTGTCCTTCTAGAATTACTATTGTTGTTATGGTTATTGTTGTCGTTAAAGTCTTGCCATTGAAATTTTTTTCGTCCATTCGCCATCAAAAAGATGGACATCATCTTTACCGTCATCGTCAACATCATCATCATCATAGTCGTCATCATCATCCCAATCATTATCAGTCCTCTCTCATCCTCATCATCATCATGCCATCATCATCATCAACATCATCATCATCTACTACTACTACTTTTAATCGTTAGATCATCATCATCATCATTATCACCCCACCATCATCACGCCATCATCATCATCGCAATCATTATCATTTCCATCATCTTCCTCCTCTCCTTCTCCTCCTCCTCATCATCATCATCGTTATTACGTGAGTTAAAACAGTTATCAGGTGTGATGCAGGCTATGTTGACTTGCGTCCACATGCCGTGCGATTATAGTAGTAGTAGCAGCTGTAGTAGTAGTAGTAGTAGTAGCTGTAGTAGTAGTAGCTCTAGTAGTAGTAGTAGTGGTAGTGGTAGTAGTAGCTGTAGTAGTAGTAGTAGTAGCGGTAGTAGTAGTAGTAGTAGTAGCTGTAGTAGTAGTAGTAGTAGTAGTAGTAGTGGTAACCGTAATTTGTGTTGTAGTAGTTGTTGTTGTTTGAAGTTAATCGTTAGATTTGTTTGAAAATTTATTGATATCCTTGCTGTAGACATTAATGTCGTTTTTTTTTGTTTGTTTGTTTGTATGTATGTTTGTATGTATGTTTGTTTGTTTGCCTGTTTGTTTGCTTGTTTGTTGTTGTAAATGAAGTTGTTATTGTTTCATGTTTGTTGTTGTCAATGTTGTCGTTGTTTCAGAAGTGAATACTGTTATTTTTTTGTTGCGGTTCTTGTCGCAATCAATTCTGACATAATCACCACCACCACCACCACCATCATCATCATCATTATGATAGTAATCTTTTCATATTTTTTTCAAATTTACATTTTCTTGTTAGAAACAAATAACACCCCCCCTCCAAAAAAAATCAATAATATATACTAATTTCCTCTTCATAGCAAATGATTGATTAAAAAGGTCTGCTAAATTTATTTTAAATTTTGAGGGTACCTTATGGCAAGTCCTGTAGTACCCTTGTGTTTGCTGGCTTATGTCTTTGTCTCATGCCCATAATTTTTTCATGCATCGTCGTCGTCATCGTCGTTATTATTATTATTATTATTATTACTATGGTCATCAGAATTGTCCAGTGCTGTTCGGTAAAATCATTACTGCCTTGACATCAGGTCGTCCTTATTATCATCTTCTTCTTCGTCTTCATTATCATCTGATATCATCATCCCATGATATCATCTTCACATGATATCATCATCACATGATATCATCATCCCGTGATAATATTATCATCATCATCATCATATTTCATCATCGTTATCTTCATCACTATTATTTCTTCGTATTATTTCTCTCTCTCTCTCTCTCTCTCACTCTCTCTCTCTCTCTCTCTCTCTCTATCTCTCTCTCTCTCTCTCTCTCTCTCTCTCTCTCTCTCTCTCTCAACAACTAAACTTTAAAATAATAAAAGAAGTTAATAAATGATTAAATAACTCGCGTAATAAATCACAAAACATATTTTTGAAAACTTAAACGTTAAGGGAGTGATATATCCGAGAGGCATGCAAATTATATAATCGCTCACCACTTAATAGAGAACTTTTTTAAAAAACTTACTTAAAGAATTAAAACATCCAGGAGCAAGGCTCACCACCAGGGCTGTGTATGATGACGATTTATAATGTGTGACTCACACACACACACACATGCACACATTTATACACACATGCAAGCACTTGGTATAGGTACTCGCACACGTACACAGATACATTACACGTAGATGCTGCTACACCATACACACACACACACACACACGCACACACATTTATATATATACACACACACACACACACTCACTCACGCACATGCTTATAGATGATGAGTGTGAAATACAATTAGTGACGTCACATGCATCTCCGTGCACGCCCAAAGATTATGATGTCACTTCTTCAAGTTATGATGCTGTCCAGATAGGCAGGCAGCCAGATAAACATGGATGGATGTTTATAGAGATAGATAGAGAATAAAGTTTTTGAGAGAGAGAGAGAGAGAGAGAGAGAGAGAAAGAAGAGCGAGAAAGAGAGAAAGAAGGGCGAACGAAATAAAAAGGAAGATAGCGGAAATAAAAACAAAAAAGAGCAAATAAAAGACGGAAAGTTATCTGATTACATCATACAAACTTTAAATGTGTTTGTGTCACGGGCAATAGGTCTGTTCAATTTTTTTTGGCATATCAATTAAACTCAAATATAAATTTAAATCAATAAAAGTTAAACAAAAGTCGCTAGTACACACGCAAACACACGCTTAATACACACACACACACACACACACACACACACACACACACACACACACACACACACACACACAGGCCCGTTACGTTATATTATGTGACGTTGACAAAATGAAATAGCGCTTGAATTACTTATACTTTACTCTTTTTACTTCTTCCTTATGATTTACCGAAAGCAATGTCGCATCTCTATAATTATGACGTCACATTAAAATTATTTAAATATATTATAACCAACAAATAATATTTAATTCTGATGTACGTTTATAAATCTTGTAAGGTTTAAAGTGCTGCTTCAATAACACGTTAAACTCGCAAACAAAAGCAAATATTTTTTTCAAAGAAAAAAAATGTATCACGAACGGATAACTTAATCCGTGGGCGGAGTCAGCAGGCTCTCACAACACGTCATGTGCGTTAATGATATGCCAAGTCCTCCCACCATCCGGACGGAGGCTTCTTACTGGCCTAAACATTGCATGAATGTTTTCTATTGGCTGGCGACTCGACACGCTCGATCATTGAAATAAGTACCTCAAAGTCAGGATTCGTGAGAAGTTATTTTTTCTGACGGTTTCCAAGAAATGAAACAAAATTTGATTTTGTTTTAATTTTAATAAATGAATTGTTGAGACAATTATTGATTATTTGTTTTAAAGATCTAATCTTCAATAAAGTAGAATAAAATGATTCCACACAGCTACAACACAGTTTTCAACCTGAGGGGGGACTACAGCCACCCCTGCCTGCCTCCACCCATCCACACGGCCTTCCAGAGGGCCCTCCAATTTTCCAACCAGACGTCACCTACCGAATTGGGCTTGGGAGCATTTTACAGCGGCCACCCTTCCTTCCAACATCCACTTCGCCATCAACTGCTGCCACCATTTTCATCAATGAGTCCGCGTTCTCTGGTCTCCCAGGAACTCTACCTCTCTCTAGGAGTCCAGAGCAGGTCCCTGCAAGCCTTGAAGGAGTTCATGAGGAATGCTGATCACGTGAGCGGCGTTAGGATGGACATGATCAACGGATCAACTTCCGGTTTGTCGAGCAAGATCAACAGTGGGAACGGAAATGGAAGTGCAGGCGTCATACGTGGTGGTGGTGAAGGGGATGGAGATGCTGACGAGGAAGATGACGAGGAGGCTGATAAGATTGATGTTGAAGAGACGAGTGTCGAATTGGATGGAAAGGAACTGTGGGAAAAATTTCATCGCATGGAAACTGAGATGGTCATCACCAAATCTGGCAGGTGGCCGTGTCTGTTCATTTACTTGTTTCTGGATATTTTTTTTGATGTTGGTTTTGTTGTTAATGTTGTTGTGTTGCTTATGTTGAAAGTTTAGACAACAAGATTGGTGACAAAGGTTTTTGTTGCATTCGTTATTGTTAAAATTACATTCCTATAATTATAACAGAATGAACAATCAAATAACATCATTAAATATTATATAAAACAATTAAAATAAAACAAAAATTAATAGCTTAGTATTAATCAAACAACGTAACGACCAAACAAACAGACGAATGTTCCCGCCATACAAAGTCAAAGTATCTGGCTTATCAAAAAAATCCAAGTACATTCTCCTCATGGACGTGGTGCCTGTTGACGACTGTCGCTACAAATTCCACAACTCGAAATGGATGGTTGCCGGAAAAGCTGATCCGGAGATGCCAAAAAGGATGTACATTCACCCAGATTCACCGGCCTGTGGCGAGCAGTGGATGAGTAAGGTCGTCTCCTTCCACAAACTCAAGTTGACCAACAACATCTCTGATAAGCACGGATTCGTTAGTGTTGTTTGTTTCAATTTACATGTGTTGTTTATTCTGTTGTTTTTGTTTTTATTTTTACAATTAATTTTGCTGTTTCAAGATGTACCAACTGATTTTATAGTTGTTTATTTTACATCATAAAATTTGCAACCATTGTCAAATGTTAATTAATTATCATTGTTGCAAACAAAATCAAAGTTTTTATTCTTTCTGATTTTACCCTCTTGGTGATGGTGCCCTCACAATCTCTATCTTATTCACTACTTTAAACATTACCATCGCCTAAAACGTCACCAAAAAAACGTCACCAACGTAACCACCCTCTCCACAAAACAGACCATCTTGAACTCCATGCACAAGTACCAGCCAAGATTTCACGTAGTAAAGGCTAGCGACATCTACCGCATGCCATTCAGTAGCTTCAAAACGTTCGTCTTCAAGGAAACCGAATTCGTGGCCGTAACCGCTTATCAGAATGAGAAGGTGATGATGGGGATGAAGAGAATGATGAGGAGAATGATGACGCCGTAATGGTGATAATGATAGGAATTGATGACGTTGTGATGACATTTTGATGAAGATAATTGTCTTATCTGATGATGTTATTATCAACTATAACGTTTTACGTACAAAGTACTTAAGTAATGAAAAGGTTATGGTGATGATGATGAGGAGGAGAATGATGATGTCATAATGATGATGATAGTGATGGCGTTGTGATGACATTTTTTATAAAACCTTTTTCAACAACCGCTGATGTCATTATCAACAATAAAGTTTCAAGTACGTTGCGAAATGGAAGGAACAATTTTTGTAGCATTTCAATGTACGAGGCTTTTATAAAATTTTTAACTCCGACTTTATAACATTTGTTAAAATTGAAAAAATTTTCTTAAAAAATTGCTTGTTTGTTTGAATATATGTAAAAAAACAGGTCTTTTCAAACAACATATATATGTATATTTTTTTTCATTTTAAAATGTTTTTTGACAAAACCATACTGGAATAGAATCGCAATTAATTTCATAATCCAAGCAAATTTTATAAAATGTTGGTGCGGGCGATACGATTTTCGAGCATTTTCTAACATTTCTGCTACTTACGTTGTTGAACTTTTCACTAAATTCATCGGACCCCACAATAGATCACTCAATTGAAGATTGACAGCAATCCGTTCGCGAAAGGTTTCAGAGATTGCGGTGGCGGGAAAAGAGAAAAGAAGTAAGTAAGACCGATTAACATGGAGATTTGTTTAATTTTTTTTTATGTTCCACGTTAAACAGCATTGATGCAGATGAATGTAAAACATGGCCGACAAATTATCGATTGCGTAGATGCATATGAATATTTTGTTTCTGAAAAAAAAATTAATTTGAAACTCTATTTTTTATTTCATTATTTCAGTAGAAGACTGTTGCTTCAAAATTGTGAATATGCACCGCAACAACATCAGCAGCAACATCAGCAGCAACATCAGCAGCAACATCAACAGCAGCAACAACAACATCATCAGCAACAACAACACCAACAACATAATTTAACATCGGGAAAGTCAAGCAACACGATCGCATCAAATTCACATCAACAAAAACTACATGAAAATGCGACACCTAACAACAACATCAACAACAACGTCATCCACAACAACATCCACAACAACATCCACAATGTCAAAAAGCACTCATCGTCATCACCATCATCTTCATCGTCGTTGTCACCACAACCACAAAACTCCTCTCAGACTCTTGCTTTGAAAAGGTCATACAATGATTATTTCGTTGCAGGCACAAACCTCGCGGAGCCACCAATAAAACACCATCGCATACAACATCTCGACAACAACAACATCATCAACAACAACAACAGCAACATTAATAACAATAATAATAACAACAACATCAAGAACATTAATAACAACAACAACATTTCAAAGTCCTTCACTCCGACCAGCACATTCATTAGCAACAACATCAAGAATAATATTAATAATGATAATAATAATAATGATAATATTATCATTAGTCATAAAAATATCGATGCTAACACCCCTAATAGCAACAACAACAGCAGCAACAGCAACAACAACAACAATAATAATAACAACAGTAATAATAATAATAACAATAACATTTTATCCTCAGCCGAAATCGCAAGCGACGACGATGACGACGACGACGATTGCGTGGTTGATGACGTAGACGATGACGTCATAGTACATGGCGTCAATCAATCGCGTTGTGTTGGTACTACAAACCATTCGTTTGGTACTGGAAGTGGCAATACTGGAGTTAATATTCATCTCACTACTCCGAACTGCGTTTCAACTGTTGCTTCTAATATCAATAACATTAACTGTTATAAAGATATTATGAACACCAGCCTAAACAACAATAATAACAACAAAAACAACCATGATAATAATATATTTAATTGTAATAATACTACTACTACTAATACATTCAACAATACCCTGATTAATGTTGTATCATGCACTAACACTACTACTACTATTTCTACTAAAGCTACTACACCTATTGTTACTACTACTACTACGACTACTACAACTTATACTACAACAACAACTACTACTACTACAAACATTATTACTACTACTACTGCTGCTACTACTACAACTTTTTCTGAAGCCGATACTTCAACGAACGCTTCAACTGCCACTGCCATTTTACCTATTTCTTCTTTTATCAACAACAACGACGACGACGACAACAACGACAACAACAACAACAACAACAATAATAATAATAACAATAACCATACCATCATCCACAACTTTATTAATGTTGATGAGAGTGTAAGTATATACAACACGCCAATCGTTAAACCGGTATCGATAATACATAACGATAATAACGATACCACGATAAATATAGAGCGTAATAATAATAATAATAATAATAACAATAATAATAACAATAAAAATAATAACATCTATAATAATGATGTTAACGTTGATACTGACGATAAAAATGACGTGAATGATGAGGAAGACGATGGGAATGATAATAATGATAATAACAACAACAACAACAACAACAACAATAATAATAATAATAATAATACTATTCATAATTGTAATAAGAACTATATCAGTGTCAGTGACAGTATAAATAATATTACTAGCGGTAATGATAATGATGTCGATAGGAATGATGATGATGATGATGGTGTCGGTGATGGTAATGATAATAAAAACGATGGTGGTCATGATAACGATCAGGAAAATAGCGACCGCGATGAGGATAAACATGATAATGATGATGCTGATGATGCTGATGATGGAAAAGTGGAAATGGTAACAGACAACAACAACTACAACAACAGCAACAACAACAAGCTCTTTTATCAAAAAATTTTTCTTGACGACGTCCTAGCCAAAGATGACAGTGATAATGATGACGATAATGACGATAATGATGAAGAGCGTTATGATGATGATAAAAGTAATAACGGCAAATTAAAATTTAAAAGTGAATTGAAGAAAAATAAAAGTAGCGGCAACACGGCATGGGCCAAACGACAGATCTTTTCCTACATCAAAAACAACAACGCCTCTGACATCAACACAAAAAGCCGCCTGTCCAATAACATCAACATGAACAAAAACAACAACAACAATCCCATCAATGATACTTACTCACCAAAGTCACGCTTTAATGACAACGACGATGATGTAAAATGCAACATTGAACAGTTTCCAAATTTGGATGCAAATATTGATAGACCCAGCAACAGCAACAACAACAACAGCAGCAGAAACAATAACAACAATGTTGATGACAATAGCGAAACATTCAACAGCAGCAGCAACAACAACGGCTGCAACAACGCCAACAACATATCTCAGCTGCCATATTCATTCTTTCCTTATTTCTTCTCGGCAGGTTTGTTTCAAGTTTCGCTGGCCAAACGCATGCAAGAAGTCTCGATGTTGCAGAGTAAAAATGACTTAATGGCAACAGCAACACCAGGAGACATTTCAATGTTGATGCCACAAAAGTTTGATGTCTCCCAAACATCAATGACCTCGCCGGCAGCTGCCTACCCAGCCACACCAACGCCATCGTTCCTAGCGGCATTTCACTACATCCAATCTCAGCAGTTGTTGAAGCAGCTGCAGTATCGCCAACACCAAATGCAACAGCACCATCAATTTTTAATGCAGCATAACCGCGAGCAACAACACCCGCAACAGTTTTGTGAGAATTCTCACAGTTCTCCAACAAGAAGTAGCGCCGACAACAGCAGCGGCAGTATCCACAACGCATATATGCAACAAGATCAACTAAACTTCAACAAATCCTTCAATAACATCTGGCAACGAACGACAAATCTTTCAAAATTCCTGCAACATCAAATCAAAGCCAGTCGTCAAAATGACATGAAAACCAACATCACAAGCGAAAGAAGAGAAGACGACAGCAACAACAACCACAGCAACAACGATGATGATGACGACGATGATGATCGATACAATCGCTACTACCAAAAACACCAACAGCGTCTGCAGCAGCTCAAACAGCTGCAGAAACAACGACCCTCGTTACCATCACCGCCATCCAATATCGTCAACAACTTCATCAACAAATGCAGAGGAACTGATCACAAAATAAGTTCATTCTTTCCGTCATATTTCAGCAACGTCAACAACAACAACATCATCGACAACAGCAGCAACAGCAACAACAACAACGTTAAAGACGACGATAACAAATCAATGTACAAAAGTAATGTTGATGACGAACTGTCAGTCATACGCCAACGCCCGCAACAATTCAACAGCAGAAGCGGCAACTACATTGCAAGTCTCATCCAGCAGCAGCAACAACAACAACGCAACAACAGTAGCAGCAACAACAACGCAACAACATCAGCCAACGACGAATTGAGAAGTATGGAAAAGATGCTGGAAGGCCTCAAGCGAAGTCAGAGTTCAGTTGGAGACCTCTCTCTTGTAACTGACTGCTACTAAAGACGACACAATGGTCTGATGGTTATGGTGCCAACTGTACAAGTACATGCGCTAAGTATTTGCTGGTTGGCACCTCTAAGACAAATTACTGAAAAATATTACATCCCCACTTTAAATAATACAATAATAATAGTTATTATTCTTTTTTTTAATTTGAAATTAAAATATATATAACAATTACTCTTAATTAAACTGATGGTGTTTGCAGTCTAGGAATGAAAGGTAGGAGTGAATCACAAGTTGGTTAACATTAACGCCGTAGTGTTACGCTGTCTTGTAGTGAATTCGCTTGTAGATGTATATTTATTGCTACTTATTACTTACATTTTACTTTATATTACATATTACACGACTTGTTTGCATAGTAACTGTTGCTTAGTAACATTAAATACGGCTTAGTAATTGTAAATTGTTGATATTTTCGAATCAGCGAGAAACATTTCTTTTTACATTGTCGTTTGCTATTTGTTAAATATGTAAATTATTATCATTGTTTTAAATGTGTGACAGCTATTATTGCGTGTGTGAATTTACTTGCAAGTGTGTGTGTGTGTGTGTGTGTCTGTCTGGTGTGTGCGTGTGTGTGTGTCTGGTGCGTGCGCGTGCGTGCGTGTGCGTGTGTGTGTGTGGTAAATGCGTGCCATCAATTTATTTCATAATTTGGAGAACTATTACAAATTATTACAGTACGACATGGAACGATGAGACAATACGACATAAAACGATACGAAACGAGACGATACGACACCATGTGGTGTAATATATATATAAAGCATGGTAGAGATTATACGGTTGATTCTAAATCAGCCTATCCACTCTACTTAATACATTCGTAGAGGAAAAAAACATTGATTTGTAATGAATTGTATTCATCTGTCATGCCAATCAATTAAAATTATGTTGTGCTAGAAAAATAATTGACAATTATGATAAACGATTGAAATTGAACTTAAGTATGAATTTAAATTTTCAAATATCCATGCGATTTATCAAAAAAATTAAACTTTGTTTAAGTTCTGAAGTGGCGTCTAACTCGTCAACACCCTTAGGTTCTACATTAGCGTCATTTTTGTCATCAATCATCATCGTCATCATTGTCATCATCACTACCGGTGTCAACGTTATCACTTTCATTATTATCACCGTCGTCATCTTCGCCATCATCATCACGACCATTAGCATCATCATCGTCGTCGTCATCATCACTATCATCATCGTTATCACCAGAATGGCGT